AGGTCCTGTTAGGCTCCCTGGGTGGGGACCTCGAGATGATCTTACCCGATGGTTAGAGACACTGAGTGATATGACTGGGTGTCGCAAACAGTGGCGTTCGTGCATCTTCTCAATTTCTTTGCAACCTTGGACCACTGAACTTTTCCATTTCCTGTTCGGCTCCACTTTCAACTTTCCTTCTCCTATTCTTCATCCCAATGGGCAGCCAAAAGACAGCAACCAAAACCGGCGCACGAATCTGCGTGGTTAATGGTTGTACTGACTGAACTGAAAACTTCTGGATTACGATAATTGTGACAGCATTCTTCACATAGTCTCCCTCGGCACACTGCTCGCTCTAAATCGGTTACCAGAAAATAGTAAAAATGTTTGTTCCTTAAGTTCCCTTGACAGCCTGAAATCCTAATCAGAATATTTCTAGGGATCGTAGGCCTCAATTGATTTGATGCAGCAAAGGCAAAACCTTTGAGACTATTTCCTTCCCAATATTGTTCGGGGGGTGGGTGTCTAGGGATAGGGCTGGTCACTCTCCCCTTGAACCTCGCGAAATGCTCCCATACGACCAAGCGTCTCGAATAGCCTCTGCTGAGGAGGCCCTACTCACTGCCTTTTCGTGATTGAGGTTTTTTTCTATCAAAGTGAGAGGATGAACAGCCGACATCCGGTTATATAACCGGGTTGGTGAACCACTGGTGGTCCACCTAGGGGAGTTGGCCAAAAACCCTGATTCCAAACCAACCAACCTGGTTGTGGCGGTTGTGGTCGCCGGCTCGATTGGGCATTAAGGTGTACTGGGCACCTTAAACGTTTGACTTCGTGTAAAGGGCGAATAACGTGATGAACAGGACACCGGCTCCCAGCGGATTGCGGTTTTCACACTCCGCCTCGTTGCCTTTCTGGTCAGGCTTTGGTTAGCCAAATACTCCGGTTGTGATTTGTTTGGCACACAGCCCCGATTCAGACGAATGTGAAAATATAAAATCCCTACAGTTCTGTAAGAGAAAGAGAAAGCGGGGTGGGGGAGGGGTTGGCGGGAAACGGAAGGCGTTGCACCGAAATCTCACTTTACTTCGACTGCACTGTGATCCGCGGACCTGTTCGTTACCGGACGCTTCTTCAGGTCTTCGAATAGAAGACGGCTCACATATTAAGGCAACTGAATAAGTGATCGCGGACTATCAGCGAGGTAGCTGCGCCCTTGAATTGAAAGGTTAAGGGACATTGGAGACGCTACTTTGTACCATTTTCCCAAGCCTAATGATCTTATCCATCAAGCCCACTTCCTCACGTGGGAAAAAGATCAGCCTCGGAAACTCAAACCCGTAATCCACTCTGATGACGCTTATTTGGTCGCCACCTCTCTGTGTTTCATTCTGTTTTGATGTTATTAGTTTTGGGCTTTCTGGAGTAAAACTTTGACCGGAATTGTTCTGTTGTCTTACCATCTGTTTCGTGCATTTAGGCATATCATATTCAGCCTCTCGGTCAAGAATTCGCAGGCCCTAAACGGGTAGTACCCGCTCGTGGACCGCCTGTTGGACCGTTGTGTTCGGAATGCGGCAGTCCGTTTCTCGTGTACGGACCATTTTGGAATGGTCCACTGCACAGTCGTGAGTTCCTTCGTAGTTTCCTAGACGGTCTCGGTGCCACTCCAAACCCGGTGGATTCGGAAAACACGAAGCAATTAAATTCATCTCATGAGCATGTGCCGAACTCTGACAACAAAAGCAAATGTGAGTGACTTGTTTGCATTGCATCGTGCGGGGTGCGTAGTGATAAGTGGGCTACTGCTCAGATATTCCAACCTTTGCTTAATTCTTTATCTTCCGTTCCCACCCCTCTCCCTTTATCCCTTCTACCGACTTGTAATGGTCCCTCAAGCAACTTGGATGTCACTCGCCAGAGGTCATTGCCAAATAGCACTGTAAGTGATTTACCGCGGAATGGATTGCAGATTCTAAAGCCTCGTCAACCACTGAATCTGGGGGCCTTCAACGTGTGGACTTTGATGCCGCTAGGTCAACAAGCTTGTCTGGCTCGTACAATGGAATCCTTAGGAATCGATATTTGCTGTGTGTGGGAAACTCAGATCCAGGATGCTACTACTCTAAGCCACTTGAGCGCGCCAGATTTGTCGACGAGATACGTTCTTCGCACATCAGGTGACGATGAAGCTCGTTGAGTAGGTCAGCGCGAGGTAGGTATTGTACTGAGTAATGGGGTGGAGTCCTTTCTTATCGCTTGGATCCCCGTCAACAGTCGTTTATGTGCAGTGCGTCTCCAGGGTTCAATCAGTGTCCGGAAGGGAAGCAACACCAAAAGGTGTTTGTTCATCGTATCAGCATATGCACCGACCAATTACAGTTGTGATACTGAAAAGGACGCTTTCTACGATGAACTCACCGATCTGATTTGGATGAGTGGAAGCTCCGATATGGTTGTTCTCGCAGGTGACTTCAACGCGCAAGCTGGAAAACTGAGCGCATTAGAAGCTTGTCTAGGCGGTCATTGTGCTCTGCCCTGCCAGCGAACAGATAATGGCGATGGACTTCTTCAGTTCTGCGCAGACCATCATCTGTTCCTATCCAGCACCAACTTCCGACATAGCTCTCGACGGACGGCAACGTGGCGCTCCATTTTAAGTGGTACGCTAACTCGTATCGACCACATCGCAGTAAGTTACCGCTGGCGTGGCTCAGTGCAAAATTGCTGGTCTTATTGGACCACCTGTGTTGAATCTGATCATGCATTAGTTCTGATGCAGTTCACTCTCGAACTTACTGGTCGCAGAAAATTCCACCAAACTCGATTAGCAGGTCATCGCTTATCTGACTCAGCCGTTCGTGCTTGATTTGAATCAGAACTAGGGCAAGAGCTAAACGCGCTGCGGGGTGGTGGTGTAGATGAACAATGGGGTCATATTAGTCGAGCAATGCACTCCGCAGCGAAGGTTGCTTGTGGATCTTAAGCGGTATCCCGACCAAGTCATTGGATATCTGATCAGTCAATCGCACTGATAGAGAAAAAGCGGCAAATCCCGACCGCCCCGGGATCAAGGCAGGTTTAGGTGGCGTCTGCGACATCAACTCAAGATCAGCCCCAAGAAAGATCGTAGGAACTAGTGGGCAATGGTAGCTAGTGAAATGGAAGTCGCAGCTGCATCAGAGAATGGTCGATGTCTGTGCTCACTGATACGCAATTCGGGAGGTCAAAGAACCACAGTTAATGAAACAATCTGCAACAAAATTGGACAAACTATTAATAATAGGGAACAACGGCTAAGCCGGTGGGCGGAGTGTTTCAAAGAGCAGTTCGGCTGACCAGATGATATCTGTTTTCTCCGATGTAGCTGAGGCTCCGTGGGCAGTGTCATGTGAACCTCTTACTCCAGCGAAAGTTCGTTCTTGCATCCAAGCCTTCAAGAAAGAAAAAGCAGCAGGACCGGACGGGCTTCCTCCCACACTTTTCAAGATGGGGCGATAACCTCGTAGACTCCAATACTGATTTAATGCGTAACATCTGGTTACACGAGCGCATTCCATCATCTTGGAGCGAATCACTGATCGTTCCAATTTTTAAGAAGAGATCTCGCAAGGACTGCGCAAACCACCGTGTAATAAATTTAATCCCAATCGTCACCAAGGTACTAGCCTCCATTATACTTCGACGTCTGACGGCCTTTAGGGAGACAAACATCAGCGAACAGGTCGCGATTGTATCGAACAAATGTTCACCCTGCGTCAAGTCCTCGAGCTACGCCATACGCACCGTCGACCAACAGTTGTCGTGCTCCTTGACCTAAAAGGAACCTTCGAATCAGTTGATCGTGAATCCCTTATGGGTTCACTCCTTCGCAAAGGAATGCCGCAGAAGTATGTGAACATACTGAGTTCACTCAACTCACATACTTCTGGTTGCGTAATGGTCTACGGAGAGCTGAGTAGGTCGTTCGTAAGTAGCAGCGGTGTTCGTTAAGGATGCCCTCTTTCGCCATTCCTGTTCAAGTTCGTCGTAGACGAAGTACTAGAGAACACACTAAGTGGTATCCAAAATGTAGGTATTTAATGGGCAGTTGGAGAAAAGCTGTGTAATTTGGAGTACGCTGACGACATCGTCTGCTCGTTCGAACGTATAGAAGATGCACAAAGAGCACTTGACAGATTATCAAGTTCTGTCTCTCCGTTCGGCGTGTGCTTTGCACCTTCAAAGTTCAAAGTAATGCTACAAGACTGGGTGTCGCCGAGTTCCGTTCTGAAACTAGACGGTCGGGAATTCGCTGAAGTCGCCTGCTTCTCGTACTTAGGTAGCTGCTTGACCAACGACAGTAGCGCATTTTCAAGGCTCGAGCAGTGTACGCAGGACTAAAACATCTGTGGCGGCCACTTGACGTGTCGCTCAAGTTGAAAAGTCGCGTATACTGCGCCACTGTACGATCAGTTCTGCTTTACGGTTGTGAGACCTTGATTTTGCGGGTAGAAGACACCCGTCGTTCAACAATGTTCGACAATCGATGCTTGCCTAGTCTGGCCTAAGTGGGATGGAGTGAGTGAGTTAGTAACTTAGAAGTAAGTTGTCGGGTGTTTGGGAATGTGTCGAACAGGAACTCGCTATCTCATCGAATCCAGCTCAGTAGGCTCCGTTGGTTAGGGCACGTTTTATGTATGTCCGACGGTCGCCCACCACAGTGCGTCCTGTTTGCAGTGGCTGTTACAGGCTGGAGAAAGTTACGTGGAGGCCAGCAGATGACGTGGAGACGAGGCATGAAGAAATGCACAGAGCGATTAGGTAGAGTAAGTGTCTCTCGCCTTCCGGGTTGGGGTCCAAAAGACTCCGAAACCGCATGGTTGGAGACACTGAAGGTCATGGCTGCGAACCGACAGCAATGGCGATCATACTGTCATTTCTTATCAGACCAGAATGCTTGAAATTGTATGTATGCACAGTTGGGGTGTGTACTCTGTTTTTTGACCATAGAGGTTCGCTTTCTTTTCCCGTCCCTAAAATTAGGCCCAATCCCTGTCCTCCTTACAAATTCTCACTTCTCTTGTACGCATTATGAGTTTGGCAGCGATCAGTGAAGTTCGCTTCACTGTATTACGCTGTACAATGATGATGATGAAACGTTGTCAAATGGAAGGCGTTCTCATGCCTCACTGTTTTATGTTCTTATATTTGACAATCTACCTCACAGTTGGCATATTTTTGATACTGTTTAGTCAATGCCATATTTAAAAACATCTTTAGCCCCAGTTCCGGTCTGCAAACGACTGGGTTTCTGTCAATGGTTGCAGTGCGTGTCAACTGCCAAAACACGGAACGTCACTCTCTACTCTCCGTGTTCGTGCTTTTACACCGATTGATCGCAATTTCGACCTGGTTGGATCTTATCAGCAGTGCGAATCGATCTACCCAACTGGAGATCGAACCCAACCAGGTCGAAACAACTGTCCAGTAGTGCTTCCTGGCTGTTCAGTCCACGCTTCATTTGCTCTGTACACGACAAATTTCCCCTTTGAAATCGAATCGGATCCTCCATTACTCACATGATCATAACTTATCTGAAATGAAGAATGAGATATTACCACATTTACACAGACTTTTCACTGTCTTAGCAGTGCTCCTTCAAAGGATATTGTTGTTTTCAATTGAGTAATGGAGCAGTTGATTCAATTTCAAAGGTGAATTCGTCATGTGTATAGCAAATAAAGCGTAAACTGAAAAGTTAGGAAGCACAACGGGATCCAACTGGGGATCGAACCAGGGACTTCATGGGGCAGAACGCAAGCATGCTACCCGCTACGCCACCGGGACAACTGATCAGTCCGTTTCCTTTCATTTTCCATTTACACGATATAGCACAACTCATCTTTGCGAGTTTGGTTGCGGGCCACGGACCCTGGTCAACTGAGCACTAGCCTCCCGGGCTCAGGACTCGGTTGGAAACATTCACACACAACCTGACTGATTATTTCATGTGCGTAATGGAGGATTTGGTTAAATTTCAAATGTGAATTCGTCGTGTATATAGCAAATGAAGCGTGAACTGAGAAGCTCGGAAGCACTGGACAGCTGTTTCGACCTGGTTGGGGAGCGTGAACTGAAAAGCTAGGAAGCACTGGACAGCTGTTTCGACCTGGTTGGGTCTCATCAGTACCTGGTTGGGTCTCATCAGCAGTGCGAATCCATCGACCCGACTGGGGATGGAACCCGGGCACTTCCATGGGCAGAACGCAAGCGTGCTACCCACTACGCCACCGAGCAGCTGATCAGACCGTTTCCTTTCATTTTCCATTTACACGATATAGCTCAACTCATCTTTGCGAGTTTGGTTGCGGGCCACGGACCCTGGTCAACTGAGCACTAGCACCTGACTGATAATTTCCATTTAAGCCTCGATAATAAAGATCATGGTGAAATAATCACCAATTTTTACCCTGCGCGAAATAGTTGTTTCCAGTTTCCAGTGGTGTTTTGATGCTACATTGCAACTGTAAACAACTCCACCACTATCTATTGTTTTGTATCATTCAGTTTGAGATTATTTTCGCCCTCAACCAGTTCCAAATCCAACTCTGAATACCTATCCACTGACATCCGAACTGAACTCACCACTCCCGAGCGGATTCAGTTTCGCACCTGATCTGACCGCACCTCAACTGCCCTCGGACATGTCGGAGATTTTCGGCACTTTCAAACGAATCGTTGGTATGAGTACCGTGGCCTATGAGGAATTGCCCGATGTTACTCTGTGCTATCGAGTGGATCATTTGTGTGCGGTTCTAGGCTCTCTGGTTCCTCCTATGCTCGAACTCTAGTAAGCATTCTTGCCTGTGCATTTGATCCGCAGTGCCTTTTTTGGGTCGCACATCCGGTCACCCCTCCCCGTTGATTGCTTCTTTTGCTCTGTTGTCCACACCGTTTTTCCGTTGAGTTTTTTTCGCCTGTTTGCACATCACGAATTGGGTTTGTTGTCCTGAATGACTTGTTCGATTCTCTTCCTGTTAGGGACTTTTTTTCTTAACTTGATCATCTTACTCAAATTGTTGCTTGGCCGATTGGAAGTTTGTATGTCGATTGTGAAAAGTTCAGTAGCCTCAGTGGGATTCGAACCTACGCAATGGACGCCGCCTACGCTTTGTACGCGCACGCTCTACCAACTGAGCTATGAGCGCACACCGATATCACTGATCTTTTCACATTTGAATTACCCACGCAACTTACACAGGCATATGACATCCATCAGTTAACATGCAAACTAACTGCCCGGACAGGTTTTCCTTAGAATTCACTGGAGTCCATCGAATGAGCTTCTGAGGCAAATTTTATTGTCTTATTCACGTGTACGAAAGCTGCTCCGCCATTCGTTTGGTAATATTCTCACTTCTAGCGTATCATCTCATCGATCGGGAAAGTCTCTCGGCAGATTATCTGTCCAATGCAATCTTTTTATTATGGGTAATTACAAAGCTGATAGTTAATCCCATAGGATCTGTACACACACTGGTTTCGGTTGGTAGTACACTCAAATAACAAACTCTAACGTTCAATCACGGATAAAGATAGACTGTCGGTGTTCAAACATCGCTGTCTAGACAGCATTGCACGAATCTAGTGGAGTAACCGGACAAGCAATACTGAGATTAGGCGCAGAGTTTTAGGTAACCGCGGTTGCCCACTGAAACGAGAGGTCGACTTCCATAGATTACGTTGGTTGGGGCTTGTGTTACACTAGTCACCAGATGGGTTACCACGGCACACGATGTTTTCCGACTAAGGTAGAGTTTGGAATAAAGCCATGGGCAGTCAGAATAAAACCTGGCACGAGGATAATTAAACCCTTACCAGTGTATTCGATCATATAGGTTCTGTTAGGCTCCCTGGATGGGGATCTGAGGGTCGTTGTGACCGATGGTTAGAGACACTGAATGATATGGATGGATGTCGTAAACAGTGGCTTTCTTGCATCGTCTCTATTTGTTTTGCAACCTGATTCCACGGAAATTGTTCGTGTTCTTTTCGACTCCAATTTCGACTTTCCTGTCATTCTCCTACTGTTGCATCCAAATTGGCAGCCACAAGACAGAAATCGGAACCAGTTGCATGGAAATGCACGGTTAATGGTTTTACAAACCGAAAGTAAAACAAACCCACGGATTAGTTAGGTGCTTCATCAACCCGGGACTTGAATAAATTGATGATAGGAGCACAAGCAACAACTAGACGTGAAGATAGGAAAGTCAATTCTATCTCGTGTTCGATGTCAATGTATTTTGTCTGTGTTCGTTCATCACAGTTAATGACATGGATGGATTTGTAATTAATTGCAAACGGGCGCATTTTGTAGTACTGGTCGTTCTGCACTAACCAAATTAATAAAGGCTACTCAGTGCCTATATTCAATCTGATTTGGTCGGATGTGAAAATGTCTGCGATGTGCTCTGTATGTTTCCTTACCAATTTTTCATCCAGACCGGGTCAAACGTTCCCCGCTGACCAATGCCACAACCGGGAAGGTGTGTGAATCATACGCCTCCTCTTGGTTGGTTTGAATCAGGGTTTTTGGCCAGCTCCCCTAGGTGAACTACCAGTGCTCCACCAACCCGGTTATAGTTCCGGATATCGGCTGTTCGTTCTTCCACTTTGGTGGGAAAAGACCTCAACCACGATAAGGCGGTGAGTAGGGCCTCCTCAGCAGAGGCTATTCGAGACGCTCGGTCGTATGGGAGCATTTCGCGAGGGAAGGGTGAGGAAGGGTGACCAGCCGCAACCCTAGACACCCAGCTCTGACCATATTGAGGCTTTCGCAGGAAACGTAGTCCATCCGTGAATGTTAATGGCAATCGGGCATGTGGCGGACAACCGTAGATGATCAGTCGTATTCATTATCACCAACATCATCATTTTATTTCGTCACTATGAACCCCCCCCCCAACCCAGGCAACGATTTTAGTTATTTGTTATGCTTCTCATCAGCATCAGCCTACCGATTTCAATATGAGTTGAATGCATCGTAATGCAGGTTGCATTTTTCCTCTTGTAAATGGAGATCAGCAGTTTTTCTCTTACTTTTTTTAATGTTTGCGAATTGCAGTTCGGCATTGTTGAACGCAGGCTATCGAGTCTCTCCATCCCACTCGGATATGAATGTGTTCAAAACAGACGCTCCGATGCCCTTCATTTGGGACGTTCTCATTGCCTATCGCAATCGTCTTCGAGCAGATGAGCAGAACAACGGTCGGACTCGCTCGGAATCAGAGTCAAGCGAATCGGATCAGACTGACAGTAGCTCGCGATCGAATGCGAATACAGATCCAGATCAGGCGGATTCGGAAAGCAAACGGCAACGTAAACGGCGTCTGCATCATGCTAATGCCAAGGATCCAGACGAGACCAGAGATTCGAATATTGTAAACAGGCAAACAGTGCGTGAAAAGCTCCTCTCCCGTCCGGCTAACCCTCTGGTAGATTTCACCATCCATCCGAAGGCGAATCCACCGTCTCGTGCTGCCGGTCTCCTCAGGTGTGTATATATCCTGTGATGTCAAAAGACAAACGATATGTTGTACAAGTGTGTTTTCGTGACTTCGTGTTCGGATGTTTTTTTAGGTTCATATGATATAAAAGCAAATATGACTAGACCGAACGGAAGCGAACAACATAGTCTGTTCATTTCTAGAGGAGCGCAGAAGAAGAGCGAAGAAGGGACCAAAGTCATTTCTGGAAATTTCTGTTGACCTTTTTCTCCACATGCGTATATCGAGCGATATTACGTCCTCGTCATCTGTGATTGAGGTTGTTGTGGCCCGGTTCGTTAAGTACGATGGGGTGTAATCAAGGCGATTGGGGTGTGCGAAGTCATTTTCTTGTGTCTCCATTGCTGTTAATCCTAAGTTTTCATTGCGACTGCTTCTGACGTTGTCGAACGCACTTATGGTCCAATGTAGATGACTTTAAACGCGTCGTTTTCATGACCGGTATTGACGAGCTGGACCCAAATCGCATTGGTTGTTACTTCCTTGCACCTTGTGCCTAGCCAAGCTGGTTTATGTTCTCTGATCCTTCGTGAAAATGTTTCGTCATTAGATGAACGTAACTTGCCGAACACGTGCAAGGGAAAGAATATCTGATCGTGGATGAAAAGAGAATTGACAACTTATCCTCAAGGCTCGTGCAGAGCTTGGATGGGCTTTTAAACGCAACCTGTAGAGAGGCTGCTGATACGCATGTCATCAAATACGTTGCGATCGATGTTTGCCGAGGCAGGTCAGGGGTGGAATAAAGCCAACGGCGGTCAAACCAAGACCTGACAAGAGGGTATGAAAACCCTGACCAGGAGACGGGGTCACATAGGTCCCGCTGAGTTCCCTGGATGGGTATGATAGTAGCCGAGGTTCAGAGACACTGAGTGATATGCCTGGATGTCGTCAACAGTGGCGTTCGTGCATCTTCACAATTTCCTTGTTACCTTAGTCCACTGTAATTTCTCATTTTCTCTTTGACTCTACTCTCAATCTTCCTTTCGTTCTCCTACTGTGCATCCAATGACCAGCCAATAATAGCGACCAGAACCGGCGCAGGATAATGCATGGTTATTGGTTCTACGAACTGAAAATTCTGGTGATATATATATATATATATATATATATATATAATCATGATTAGTATGTGGATGACTGGACAAAATTTCCCTGGAAGCACTCGAACGGTTTCGCGGTCCTTGCCGCTCATCAGGCATGTGTATCCGGTAATCTTTCGTCACTTCATTCATAAACTTGCATCCAGGAAGTATATTTTCGACACAATAACCTTGTTTGCATCACCGAGTGACGTTCGAATAGACAGCTGTTTCAGACCCAGTTCATTGAAGAATCAATGCTATGAATCAATGGTTTGTTGCGGTTAGTAGCATTGAATCTTCAATGGACCGGCTCTGAAAGAGCTGTCTATCCGAACGTCATCCAACAACAACGTAGTTGCGTTCACCATCAATGTATCGAAGCGACAGATAACTTAAAAGGTCACCTACCAGAAGTAGTCGATCAAATTCCTCGGTGATGTCATTCGTGTCGCTTTTGAACAAATGTGCAAACCAAAACTTTATTCGATATTTGCCTTCCAGTAGTGATGCAGCATTTCACCTT